GCTTGCGCGCGTGACTGCTGTTGGTTTTGGTCGAATTTTTCCGTGTTTTCGCTGCTGCTGCTTTTGCGCCGATCGCTGCCGCTTTTTATTTCAATTTTCATCGATCAAGCGCTGGTGCGGCTAGCCTTTGCCACTCTATAAATAGTCTTTTCTCTCCAAACGAGCGCGTTGTGTTCGCCTCCTTGTGTTCTGTTTATGCTGCTAGCTAGTTCAGCTACAAATGTCGGATTATATTCCTAGGTTCGATCTCAACTTTTGGCATCCCAAGATGATGACGCCAACGACGCTTTTAAATCTCGACGAGCCAGAAGATCACCACGGAGGTAATGCATCACTTAGTTGTATCCTTCCGTTGTTCAGATTATTTTGGTTCTCATCATTTGTTTCATTTTTTTTTACAGACTTGATTTGAACTTACCAAGAGATGAGTTCGGTCTTTGTTGATTTCGACTACATACAAAATCAAGCTGGTAACTTCTTTTTCGTCACAATGTTTGTTTTTCTTCCTATAATTACAATATGCCGTGAATGCATTACATAACGTGCAAGCAGTTCATGAATGTGTTTCTTTTTATCTTAAAAATACAACATGCCGTGAATAAATATTGGACCATGCATGCCGTGTGAATAAGTACTGGACAATGCATGCCGTGAATGTAGGCAAACATGACATGTCCTTGGTTGTTTTCTTTTAATGAGACCATGCCGTGGATTAATCCAACCGTGGAAGAACAAGTTCAACCACACAGCCGAAGGAAAGAAATGAGTGAAGAGGTCCGAAAACAAGTTTACCAAGCTTTGTTGGCTAGAAGCAACAATGGTACACTACACAAGGAAGACACCGCGTTTGTTGCTGCTCAATTTGACATCCATAGACGGACAGCTCAACGTGTTTGGAACCGAGGTAAAACACAACTTTGTAGCAATGTACCGGTTGTGGTTTCTAGTCTAAAGAAGGGTAGAGTTGGACGTAAAGCAATACCTTTTGATTTGGAAGCATTGCGAAACATTCCTCTTAAGGAAAGAATGACTATAGAGGATGTGTGTGCCAAACTAAACATGAGCAAATGGAGGGTTCAAAATTATTTGAAAAAATGATTGATTAGGCGCCACTCTAGTAGCATCAAACCATATCTCACTGAAGCTAACAAGAAGTCTAGGTTACAATGGTGTGTTGACATGGTTAATAGAGAGTTGCTTGATGATCCAAGGTTTAAGGAGTTGTATGACTTTGTGTTCATTGATGAGAAATGGTTCTACCTACATCAAACATCTGAAACATATTATTTGCTACCTGAAGAAGATGATCCCCATCGGACTTGTAAGAATAAGAACTACATCCCTAGGCTCATGTTCTTGTGTGTTTGTGCTCGGCCAAGATTTAGGGATGGGAATTGTATTTTTGATGGTAGGATTGGTTGTTTTCCACTTGTTCAATATGAACCGGCTCAAAGAGGTAATGAGAGGACCGGCCGTGTCCGTGGAGACTTGGTTATGAAGCCCATAACTTCGATCACTAGAGAAGTGATTAGAGGTTTTATGATCAACCAAGTGTTGCCCGCCATTAGAGCTAAGTGGCCAAGAGAAGATGTGGGTAGACCAATATTCATTCAACAAGACAATGCACCTTCCCACTTGAAATTGGATGACCGAGAATTTTGTGAGGCAACTAAGCTAGGAGGATTTGATATTCGCAATATGTCACCACCAAACTCTCTAGATTTCAACATTCTTGACTTGGGTTTTTTTCGAGCTATACAAGCAATTCAATATCAAAAGAATGCAAAGACAATGGAGGCTCTCATTCGGTAGTGCAAGAGGTAATTTGCTCAACAATTGTTCACAACCGAATTAAACTTGCATTACAATTTATCCCACAACAATTTGCTAACCGAATTAAACTTGCATTACAATTGTAGGCATTCATGGAGTACTCACCACACCTTGCAAAACCGAATGTTTCTAACACTACAAGATGTTTTGATGGAAGCTATGAAGAAGAAAGGTTGCAACAACTTCAAGATACCTCACATGAAAAAAAGGAGCATTGGAAAGACAAGGTCTGCTTTGCCATCTTGTATTCCTTGTGATCCATCTTTCCTAGTTGAAGCCGAGGATAGTCTTCTTGCATGAAAGGAAGTAGATTGATGGTTACTCTTGCTGTAATGATCTTAATGAACTGCTGTTGTAATGAACTCAATTTTAATGATCTTATGCATTGCATGGCGGCTTTGGCGTCCTCCATAGCCTTCTTGGCGTGAGCTTACGCTTGCGCCTCTCCTTAGCCTCCTCTTCGACCTTCTTGAGCACGTCTGCAGCAAGACAATTTGCTCCATGCCGACTCGAACACGACATTCTTGACATCCGGAATGAAAAACTCTTTTCGAAATAATCGAAGCCATGAACAATAGCGAAGAACAAGTAGTCTGCGTGCTTGAGACCGCGGCGAGAGCATGGATAGCGCCCCAGTGTACACGATCCCATGCTTCGCGGTTAAGATGAACGACTTGACAGGTGCCAAGAAATAAAAGCGCCCGCGGCGAAGAATCCGCACCACGATCTCCTCCGACTCCGGCGAGACGATCTCCTCCGACTCTGGCGAGATTTTCGCGCGACGAACTGCTGGGACTCAAGACGACGAATCGCTGCGACTCGCGCGACGATCATCTCCTCCGACTCGGCGAGATGAAGCTGGCCGCGATTCGGCGCGACAAAGCGCTGGGACTCCGACACGACGAATGCTGCGACTCGGCGACGATCATCTCCTCCGACTCAGAACGATCTCCTCGAAGTCCGCGTCCATGGAACTGCTAGGGCGAGGGCGAGCCGTGTGCGGCGTGGAGCGAGGGCGAGCTGGTGTGCGGCGTGGAGAAGAAGAGCTAGCGGCGAGGGGCGAGCTGCGAGGAGCGACCGTGAGCTGGAATCGCGGCATGCGGCGGCGGCGTGCGCGATTAATAGCAGCATGCAGGAGGCGAAGCAATAGGCGCTGAGTCAAGGTTCCTGGAATCGCGGCATGCAGCGGCGCATGCGCTATTAACGTGGACACGGGAGCCAAAGCATAGGGGTACCGGCGTCCACTTTTCTCCCTCGAAGCCAAAACGACTTCTTTTGCTTGATTTCAAACTGAGCCCAGAACGACCTCCTTTAGCAGTATGGAGGGAGTATTTGAAAGTTTGTTTTTAGTTCATTTCAGTATTTGAAAGCTAACTACAAGTGATAGGACTTAAGATGTACATTTCCCCTTTCATGGTTTTGCCATTTTTTTTTCTTTTTAATTTCAACTGAGATCTGAAACTTGTGTATTCGGATGCCATTTAGTTTGATTCGTTTTTTAAAAGCTCTCTTTTGCCTCAGTGCTCACTGCTAGCAAAGGTTCCGTTTTGTAGCTGTGATTATGAAAATCGTGATTTCATAATTACGAAATAATGATGATTATTTGGTTATAGATATCAGTGTTTTTTTATAAATATGATCAAATTTAAAATAGTTTAACGATAACTAGAATGTCAAGTTTTTTTAAGACAATATAGAATAATAGATAGATATGGTTAAGTTCCTTCCAGACATGGATATCTATGTTTGTTGGTTAAACCCATAATCCTATACTCTGCCCAACGGTGGGGTGCAGGGCGGGGTGGAAAATGAATATTCTGGGTCAAATTTCTAGCATAAAAGTAGGTTGTATGAATCGCTGAAGTGGTGTATAGAAAATTCCTAAAACATTCTAATCGGCTTATAAACGTGTTCTAAAATTTTTGTAAATCAACAATATGATATATAACTAGCATGAATGTAACATACATTGATGTTGTATGCATTTATGCTATGCGTTTGTGCTGGTTGCATATTATTTTTTTTTTCATTGTGATAAATTCTTAAAACACGTTCATACACTAAGTATAATGTTTTAGGAATTTTCAAGATTTTTTTGGAAATTTTTTATTTTCCAGAGCTAAATCAATTTTTTGATACATCAAGTTTTATGAGCTCTAAATATTTTATTTGAATTTGACACATCCCAATGTATCTTTAGGATTTTTTTTGTTTTTTTAAAAAGCTTAAAGGTAATTTGTGTGGCTAAAAACCTTATCAAATATTTATTGATTTTTAACTAAAAAGACAAAAACCATCTTCAAAATTACTACAAACCATGAGAAGGAGGTAATTTGAATGGTTTTGAAAGTTTGTATAAGAGATAAAATATCTGATTTTATTTATCAAATTTCTAACTAAGAAGATAAAACGATCTTCTAAATCACTCTAAACGATGAGGAGGTAATTCGAACAGTTTTAAAAGTTTGTATAGGAGATAAAATATCCGATTTTAGAGTTTGAGGAGAAAAATCAAACTACTCCGATAGTTGGGAGTTGGGAGAATAAACTTTTTTTTTGAATGCCTCTCATCTAGGTACTAGCTGTGGCATCTGTTCGTACACACGCACACTACACACCACCCGTGTACAAATAAACCTATAGCTACACTCAGATATGAAGATCGCGTCATTCTTGAGATCACCGAAATCCACTGATTTCGTAGGCGACGGGCACGTCACGATTTTTTTTTATTTACACGAAAGTGGTCATCATCGCAATCTGCCGATCTCATCCAGATATTGAACTAGGCCTGCAAACCAGCCCAGTTGGCGTCCTTCAAACTGGTCCATCTAAATAATACAGGCCCAAATTGTTCTGTTGTCCTCTCTTGGTCTCCCAAGTGCCTCTTCGATCCTCGTCTCTCGTCGAACTCGAGCACGCAGCCGGCAGGCGGCAGGAGAGAGCGCCGGAGCCAGAGAAGCCAGCGGCCAGGGTATTCCGGGGAGGCGAGGGAGCGCTGTGAGGACAACAGTCTAACAGATACGTACGAGAAGTGAGGTGACTCCCATAAATCCTACTATTTCCCAAATATTCCTTTGTTTCGACACCTTTAATTTTTTTTCCTCTTTCTGGAAAGGAAATTGCATCTTCGGTTTGACCTTGCACCCCCTACCGCCCCGCCGACAATGGCGGCGAAGGTGCGGTTCGGCCTCCTGGTGGCGATGTTCAATGCCATGTCGGGCGACAAGAGTTCAGCGAAGAAGCGCAGCCGCCTGCGCGCGTTCCTCGACCGCGCCTACGTGCCCAGCGGCGGTAGGGATGACTATTTCAGCGCGCTCCGCCTCGTGCTCCCGGGGCTCGACCGCGAGCGCGGCACCTACGGGCTCAAGGAGGCGGCCCTCGCCGCCGTGCTTGTCGACGCCCTTGGCATCGCCAAGGACTCTACCGACGCCGTCCGGCTCACCAACTGGCGCCGCGGCGGGGGTGGCCGCAACGCCGGCAACTTCGGGCTCGTGGCCGCTGAGGTATTGTTTGCTGGTAGCTCTGCAATAGCACTTACAGAGTCCCCAACCTCAGATTCTCTGTAATTAAGCCTTGCTATCTCGCCCTTGTCAGACAACGATATGAATTTTGTTCAGTTGCTAATGTGTGAGCATTAGTTCAGCTCAATTTTAGGTTGGTTTCAACGTAGTATGTGTATGAATTCGGCAAACAGCATAAGCTCTAGCCACTGAGTATTAGTTCAGTTGCTAATTTGAGTTGTGTCCTTGGCATTTTGTCTCAACATGTCCATATGTTCATGCTCAGCGAGTTAGCGTTTGTCACTGGGTCAAGCAATCTTCGTGTTTGGTGCACACCATGTGCCAATAATCTCCCCCTGCTTAGAAATGCAGAATCTGTCTTGATCTTTATTTGGTTTCACATGATTGGATGTGTTTAATATGTAATTCAAAAGTTTGGTTCAGTTCAAAACGATTATATGTAGATTGCTTGATTAATGTGCCATCTTAGTTGTTGTGGTTCGTCAGCAACTACTTGCCCGAGTTATGTATTGGTTGCCACCCAGGTCCTGCAACGGAGGCAAGGTCTAACTTCTGGTGGATTGACGATAAAGGAGGTTAACGATGCACTTGATCATCTAGCTGCAACCGACAACAGGTAGCTAAGGCAGCTATTTGAATTTGTGCATGACAGAACTGCCAGGAGTTCTTTTTCATTCTTGATAGGTCTGAGAAGGCCTCAATACTTTCTAATCTGATCAAGAAAACCAATGCCGTTGAAATGAAGTGGCTTCTGATGATTATTCTTAAAGGTGCGATACCTGTGCCCATTTCTTATTTGGTGAGCTTTTATGCTTTTGCTGCAACTGCAGTATTTTTATTTGCTTTTGTTTTTTTTTGGCACGCTTTGATGTAGATTTGAAATTGGGGATAAGTGAGAAGAGCATATTTGAAGAATTTCATCCTGATGCCCAAGACTTGTTCAATGTCACCTGTGACTTGAAATTCGTCTGTGAGAAGCTCAATGACCGAAGCCAGAGGCATAAACGGCAGGTGATAGCTCTGAGCTCTTTTTATTGAACTTTTGCTTCCCACAACTTGACTCTTCATGTGCAACATTGTAACCCCAAAATTTTTTATGTTGTCAAAAACTTTTCTCACTCACTGTCTTTCGTGTGCTTGTTTTCTTGGTTGGGCTGAGCATTTGCATTTATATAGACATGTACCACTCATAGAAAACACAGTGGTTTCATAACATTTTCTGATGACCCCTGTTACAGGGCGTCTCTACATTTTTGAGGACCCTACTATGGGCCCTATAGGTTTAGCATTTTTTCTTTGTAACATGATAAAGTATATACAGGTCTAATATATGGAATCATGCCCCCACCCCCACCCCCCTCTGTCATGGGCCCTAGGCCCAGAGCCGACCCTGCCATGTTATTACACTCTATTGCAGTTGTGGTACTCATAGATTTGATTTATTTATTTATCTTAGGGATTCCATGTATATACCTTTATGCTGTCTGACCAGGATATAGAAATTGGGAAGGCTGTCAGGCCTCAGCTAGCTATGAGAGTCCGTGATGCTTCAGCTGCTTGGAAGAAGGTGCCTGCCCCCACCCACCAGTTTCCTTCTGAAGATATAGTCATTGCTATGTGAAAGGCTGCTTTACACTTGTTCTACATTTCTTGAATTGGCTTGGTTATCATACCCCTCCCTTTTCCCAGCTTCATGGAAAACAAGTGGTTGCTGAGTGCAAATTCGATGGTGATCGTATTCAAATCCACAAAAACGGGGAAGAGATCCATTTCTTCTCTAGGTAACTGAATTGATTGCTACTACATATTTACTTCTTGCATACTGTTCTTGAACTACTGGTTTCTTTTTTGTTTGTCGATCCTTTTTATTTGCAATATTGTTCACAGTTCAGATAGCTTCTGCTTGCTTCACTAACTTTATATGTGTATATCAGGAGCTTTCTTGATCACTCTGAATACACACATGGGATGTCAAAGATTATTAAAGAAAATATCCTGGTTGACAGGTAAACTTTCTTTTTTTCTGCCAAAAAATCACAAAGAGTGTTTGTACTTCTAGTGCCAATTTACTTGCATATCACAATATCCTAGCATTTTTCTTTTCCTGTGAACAACTATAGCTTATGCATTATAAGACTTAAGATTTGCTTCAGACTTTTCATGGAAGAATATCTATCACACCACTATCTTGTTTGTCAAAGCCAAAACTTGAACTAAAGGAATGTATATTATATTTACTTCAATATTAATGATTCGGTATGATCTCCCCTATGGCTGTAGTTAGCTAGTTCTAAATGAGCTCGAGGTATTTAACTTGTTATGAGCTTGTAAGAGTAATCATGTATTGTTTCCCACATTGCAGTCTGGTCTCTTAGACAATATAAGCTTCCTTTTGGATATCTGTTGGTCCTTTATGTAGTCCTTTTACCGTGCAAACTTCCTTGGAACTCACTCTAGTTCTGATGCTAATTGGTGTTAGTAATGCAGATGTATATTGGATGGAGAAATGCTTGTCTGGGACACTGTACTTAACCGTTTTGCTGAATTTGGTTCAAACCAGGAAATAAGTTTTTGGATATTCCATTGAAAATCAGAAAGTTTTACTTCTCCGGGATGTTTTATAGTGGATTAATATTATTCTTTTTTGCGGCTAAGGCTGCAAGGGAGGGATTGGAGACTGATCGACAGGTTGTTTTCACAAAACCTGTTTTTTTTTTTTTCTGTGTTTCGGAGTGATCCTTCTACAAAATTTCCTATCTAACTTAATTTACTCTGTGCTTGCAGTTGTGCTGTATCCTTCATTTCTTTACTAGTTCTTGCATTCTACTTTTTGTCTTGATATTCTTAGCTATTTCTTTTTTTTAAGGAAGACTCTTAGCTGCATTTGTTTGAATTTCCATTTTCTGTTTGTTTCAGTATCTGGATGTTCTGGAACTGTTTCCTAGCATATGTAGGCCTAGTTTAATGTTTCCTCCAAAATTTTCATTTTTTTTTATTTTCTTGTTTGTCATGTTTTTCTTGACACTAGCGATGCATAGATGTTGCTTTTGACATCCTTTATGCTGGAGACACCAGTGTTATCCACCAAAGTTTGACAGAGCGGCATCAAATTCTGCAGAAGGTTGTGAAACCTTTAAAGGGTCGTCTTGAGATTTTGATCCCAACAGGTGGTTTAAATGTCCGTCGCCCTTCAGGTAGCTGATGACAATTTTACGATTGTATTTTTATTTTCTCATGGATGCATTTGAGTTCACCCACTTCCAAAATAGATGACATTGTACAATGGATTCCAGTAGCTTGATCTAGTATGCTGATAGGACTTCTTTTGCTGTATTTTTAATTTTGTTCAGAAGAGTCACATGTTATGTTCTATTATATATCTGTTGTATGCCCATTACTATGCAATACTAAACTTATTTGCTACCTGCAGATGAACCATGCTGGTCAATTATTGTACATAGTGTTGAAGATGTTGAAAGATTCTTCAAAGAGACTATTGAGAACAGGTTTCTTTGAACCTTCTTAGATAATTGGCTTAGCAACCTTTTACGTTAAAAAACCATTTAGTTATATTCTTATGATTCTTCGATTCATTAATTGTGGTTAGAGATGAGGGCATTATACTGAAGGACCTTGATTCCAAATGGGAACCTGGTGACCGAAATGGAAAGTGGCTTAAACTAAAGCCTGATTATATACACGCGGGTGCTGATCTGGATGTTATTATTATAGGTAAGCATCTTTCTCCAGTGAAGAACAAATGATATTACTTTTTGAAACTATTGATTGAGGGTATGTTGACCCCTTTGTTGTTAGGGGGATACTATGGATCTGGACGTCGAGGAGGAGAGGTGCACTAGACATTCTCATTTTTGAAATATATATATACACATTTAGCTTACTATTTTAGTTTCAACATTAGGGTTAGCTGGGTGTGAATATTATAATGTCTTGCTAGTGCATAGTCTTGAACTCGCTCTTAGTTTTATTCTTTTCAAGCTCTTAAAAAGTAAAAACTGCTGATCATTGTTCTTAACTGATTTATAGGTTGCACAGGTTTTAGTTGGCCTTGCAGTCCCTTCAGATGATAATAGTTATCCCAAAAGGTAAGCAGAGTTTCTCCACCCACTGTATATTTTGTAGAGGCAATGGTAGATGAAGATCATAGTAAAAAGCAAAATGTGGTCATCCTAAAACTCAACCATGGGAAGAAGATGCTTCCTGGCTTTGCATTAAATATCCTGGGTTCCAGCCCTGTTGGCCGTCCTCTCAAGTCTCAGCTTGAGGCTTACCAACTGAGCTATTGCTTGGTTCTTAGATGTGGTTGCCTAATAATTAAATAATGTTGCAGTAGGATGGTTCTGTACTTTGATGAAGATTGCTGATAGGTGCGCATGGATACCTTTTGTGTCTTTCAGTATTATATATTCTAATACTACTTATATGCATTTCATACCTGTGCTTGGCAAAACATAGAAAACACATGTCTGTTTTATTTATTGATGTGATGTTTCTTGTTATCATACATGTCTAATGAGTTTTTATATGGTAAGCATTTTGTTTTTTCATTCCATGATGTTTCCTTTTTCCCACAACGGTTGAGCTCAAATTTCATTACCGAGGCAATGAGACAACCATATACTCTGTGATCTTTCTTACTTGTTTTCTGTCCTTGTGTACTCTTTTCAAGGTTTCTTTCATTTTGCCGTGTCGGTACTGGGCTCTCTGATGAAGAGCGTGATGCTCTTGTCACCAAACTGAAGCCTTATTTCAGGTATTCAGCTTTGATTCTTATGTTTCATAATGGTTCAGTATTTTGTGTAACTATGTTTCGTTGAAGCTTAACAACATATTTATTGCACTTAAAGGCACTGAAGTACCTTCGCAATCTGTCATATTGTGCTATTTTTGGAACAGGAAAAATGAGTACCCAAAAAAACCACCAAAATTTTATGAAGTTACAAATAACTCAAAGGAGAGGCCAGATGTTTGGATCGAGAGCCTTGATAAGTAAGTTTTTTTAATTCTTTGATCGAGTCAACCATTTTCTTAGATACAGGAAGCACATGATATGCTAAATCACTAATTACATTTTCAGGTCAGTCATAATATCTGTAACAAGTGACATTCGTACAATCAAGTCCGAGGTATCTGATTTAAAGAATCAAACACTTCTATGTCCTGCAGTTCAGTCTTTAAAAGCATTATACTTGGGACCAATTTCTCTTGTGCAATCAGCTGGTGTATTTTCTCTTCTAACTAACTTTTAACAACTTCTTTCAACCTTTTGCAGGTATTTGCTGCTCCGTACTGTTTGAGGTTCCCCCGTATTCAGAGAGTGAGATATGACAAGCCATGGCATGAGTGCCTTGATGTGCAGGGTAATTTGTTTTGCTTATACTTAATATTTTGTGTTTGTAACCTTAGTTCTTTTAGTAGCTTACAATAAGCTACATCCCTCCTGATGCCTTAATCTAGATTATGTCTCAAGGATGAGTTCTCTGTAACATGCTGATCATTGCAGCATTTGTGGACATTGTGCATTCAAGTAATGGTACAACACAAAGGGTGGCAGATGATAACAGTCTGAAGAATGATGACACAAAACGCTCAAGAACAAACAAAAAAGTGGAGAAGAAGTGTGTCTCAGTCATCCCTTCACATCTCATGAAGACTGATGTATCAGGTCTTAAGGGAGAAACCCTGATATTTGCCAACATGATTTTCTGTATCCTTTCCTGTGTTATTCTTTGCTAGCTACACTTATTTTTACAAGACAAAGGCCAGAAAATTGTGTAAAGTAGGAGAATATTCCTTATCTTATTTAGATTTTGTCAACATTCCATCATCTTATAATCTCGAATATTTTCATAAACTGGTTGTGGAAAATGGGGGATCTTTCTCCATGAATCTGAATGACTCTGTGTTAGAGGAGTCAAGGGCCTATTGGGCCTTAGCCCATTAGAGTTAATTAGTCGCTTGCTTAGGGGCCAAGTCAGACCTCTCTATATAATGAGAGGAGATGTATCAATCTAATCAAGCAAGAGATTAGAAGGAAATCCCTTCTCTCTTGCCGGCCGTGGGCGAAGCCCCGCGGCCGGCCTCCCCCAGTGCCCTTGCAGCCCTAGCCGCCGCCGCCGTGAACAGTACCCGCGGACACTGTAGCTCCACGGTACTGTACCACGCCCTCTCATCTCCATCCCAACTGGCCACATAACACTCTGTTACGCACTGCATAGCTGCGGAAAAGAAAGGTATTTACCTTTGTTCTAGGAATTCCTTTTCCTTTGATAATGGGATATTGAATACATATAGTTTGAAGTATATTTGTATGTTAACTTTCAGGTATCAAATATCAGGCAGCTTTACGGCAGGGAAGGATCATTCACTATGAGTGGATATTAGACTGTTGTAAGGAAAAACATCTTCTTCATTTGCAACCTAGGTTTGACCCTTTGACTTAAACCCACATTTACCTCATAACTTATTTTGCAAAATATTCTAATGCAATTTTCATTGTACAGGTATATACTATTTCTTGCTGATTTTGCCAGGCACAAATTTCCTGAAGAGATTGATTCATATGCTGACTATTACTACTGGGACATTGAAATTGCTGACCTCAAGCAGGTACAGTATTTGGTCCTGTATGCAGTATATCCTTTTATCACTACAAAATAAAATAACACTTTATTGCAAAGGACAATATAACAGTAATTCAAAATTGAAGATGTACCACTGTGGGCCTGAATTAGTGTAACTAAGTAACCATGCATTCAGCCAGTTAGTAGAAGCTGCATATATGATACAACATTGAACCCTAATTATTACTTGTGGTTTATATAAGCGATTATATTTTACGAAAGGTCTTGGTGGGTGCCAAAGGTTTGGCACAACTGACCATTGTAGGGACTTATAGCTTGTGTGTGATATGGTTGGCCGATTTATTTTTGGAATGTGGCACGCATGTAATTAAATTTGAACTGATAGGGTTCGTGTGTTATTTCTTCTAATGCAATGATTCACAGCTCTCCTATGTATTTGGGTGCGAATAACCTCTCACAGAACTATCGAAATGCGGCATATATTCTAGATAGAGAGGATAAAAATCATGTGTGGGGCATCCCTCACTACGGGTGCGATTTGCTGCCCATAAGGGTCTCCAATCCTCTTTAGTTTCATTGTTAGTACTACTTTTCCAAAATATGGTCACATTTTGGAAAACTAGTGCTAGTAATTGAACTTAAGAGGTCACGGAGACCCTTAGGGGCACCCATTTGCACCCCACCTCAAGCATACATAAATCATATAGGAGTAAAGGATTTCACCTCTTCTAACTTCTCTTCCTAAATATGGTCAATGTTGGGTTTGCGTGGTAGCACTCGACGATGGGCTGTTATATGATACTTTTCCACAGCCTTCTGTTGTTTGCAACTTTTCTCTGGCATCCTATGCTTGTTATTATTTTGTCACAATGCATTTTTGTACTTAGAAGCATGTGTTTGGTAGAATGGCGATGCAAGAGATGTTGCTGACTGTACTTGAAATTTTGACCTCTTTTTCGGGCATTCTACAAGGACAGATTCACAATGAACCATTTTGATATTTCCTTGTGATTTTTCATGCGCCAGATTTTCAGTAACATCGACAAAGTTGCTGGTGATTCAAACATGGTTAATCAGTACAAAAAGAAGCATTGCATAGACGAGAGATTCTGTTTCTTCCAGGGTTGCTGTGTCTACTTGCATAATGCACCCTTAGTGTAAGCTTCATTTACTGTCAAGTAGTGTCATCTTTCACATGATACATCTCCTCATCTGTTTTTTCACCTTTTTTTCCTGGAGGAATGCGGACTACAATGTAATATCTGATCTTGCGCTGAAGAGGGTGAAGCAGGATCTAACAATGCATGGTGGTCAAGTCTGCAGCAGCATTGCTCCAGCTACTCATTTGGTTGTAGTTTCGGTTTTACAGGCCTATAACTTCGATAACCTGTACAAGAGGTACTGATTTATTGCTTTAGATTTGCTTTGTGACTTTTGCAAGAGAAGGGCAAACGGAAACATTTATGGTAATCCATTGGTTGTTTATGCAGCTTCCCTCCTGCTGAAAGACGTTATCTACATGACAAACAATTACATGTTGTCAGTAATAAGTGGTTGGAAGATTCAGTGGAGAAACAAATGAAGCTCTCTGAAACTGCTTACAGCCTTAAACCAGATACACTAGAAGAACTAGATATTGAAAGGAGGTAACTGGTGATTGCCCGCATAATCACACTTCTAATATTGAAATATTTGCATTTGGTTGTTGTTAACCTTCTGTCTGTTTCTAATTTGTTTCAGTGAGGAAAATGTTCAGCCTCCGGATCATAAGCTTGAGGAACACAAGGAGGTTGAAAGATCTCAAGCCAAAAATGTACCAAGGAAAAGGAGCAGGCCAACCAGTAGTTCAAGAACTGCAAGGGCTGCTCCTAGACCAGTCCGGCGAATACGGCCTAGAAGAGGAAACCAGAAAGCAAAAATAGGTGATGATGTTGAATCTGAAGAAAGTGGCCCCAGTGAATGTCAGGATGATCAAAATTTGAACACAGATGATACCTCTAAGGTTGAAGAAGGTATTACCGACAAAAAGAAAGGACTCCCTCCACCTGCTTCTAAACCAGCCCGGAGAACAAGGGCTACAGAGGAAATCAGCATACAAAGATAGATGACAGCGGATCCGAAGAAAGTGGGCCTTGTGAAACAGGGCAAGATGATCAGAAGTTGGACACAGATTACATCTCTAAGATGGAAGTAGATAACAGCGATAAAGACTGTGGACCACCGCCAGGTGCTCAGCTTTTCACATTGGGGGAGCAAGAGGTCAAAGGTGTCAAATTGAACACCGTGGAGGAGAAACCAGACAGTCCTTTCCAAAGAACAACTGCTGCTGAAGCGATGTGTAGTGCTCCTGGTGAGAAGATAGAACAAATGGTTGATCCGTTGCACGCCATGCTTCTGGATATGCTACCACTCCTGGGCAAGAAAGGGACAGAAGATGCAAGTAGGGCACCCTTGACGAAAGTTGAGAAGGATCCACCTGCGATAGGAAGTTCCACATCCAATTCTGAGATTCTGGTGCCACATGCTGGAACATCCGGGGTTCCAGCCTCAGACCCGAATGCAGCTCCTCCTCCAAAGAAGAAAAAAGTGAGTTACGAAGCCACCATGTTCGTTTGGGCTTGTTTGGCTTATAAGCCGTACTTTTCTAGCCAACGAACAATATTTTTCTCTCAGACCAAATCAGCCAACGGTACTTTCAACCATGGCAGCCAAACAAGCCCAAGCGAACAGGGTGAGAGAGCTTGGTCAGTGGGGATATCCTGCAGTCTATGTTTTACACTTTTACTCCCGTAGTCGCTACTGACCAAGCTCAGTGGGGATATCCTGCAGTATCATGTAAATACAACGCCATGTAACCATGTTTGTAGTGTCACCTTGACTGTTTGTCGTGTTCTCGGAAGTTCACTTGCTTTGCCTGGTGACTTGTTGAGTATGACTGTTAAGCCTAGCAACACTGATGTTGAGTTGGACCAATATGCATGCGGAATGCAAGGATTTTACACGCATTTTGCAGAGGGGGGCAAATATTGCATTGAAGTGGAAGTGGAAGCCTGTGGTTTGCTCTGCAATTGGTTTTGTATCTTGCAGCCAATGTTGTCCCTTTTGCTGTATATATACGAGAATGTGACCAGAGCCGAAGCCGAGAAACAGGAACCTCTCGGTTTGGCGGCCCCGGCGTCGTTGCACGGCTGATGGATGTGCCACGCTGGGTGCGTGCACCGCGGTTCCTCCCGTACGTGCGATGCGGGGTCGCGGTACCGGTACGTGTGCGGTTGGCGTGGTGTCGTGTGGTCGTGCCGTGCCGTGCCGGGACGGAGTCGGTTCACCACCAAACCGGCGTGTGGTCTGCCCCGGATGATATGATGGTGCTGGTTAGCGAGAAGCGGACCAGGTGGACGGGCGGAGGGAACGAATGGTCTTTGGTCAAAAAATGGAGGTCTGCCACTGAATCACTGTTCTTTGAAGCTTGTCGGACCATTCACTGCCGATCAGGTGGCGCTCGCTTGCCTGTGCAAGTCGTTGGATTGGACATTTGGACCACCACAGAGTCTGCAGAGATAGGAGTACCGTTCACGTATACTCCACGCTGGATGTTATGTAGGGTCCGCGACACTGGTCACTGGTGCCGCAACCGTACATACTTAGCTATTCTTTTGGTCGCTCCATATGTACAGTACCACCCTCCGTGTCAGACTGTCTTCAACGAGCCCATTCGATTTTTTTACGCCACAGACAAAGAGTTCAATATCTATTTTTGATCTTCTCCAACAACAAGATCCAAAAGATAATTCTTTCTGTAAATAGGTCTCCAGAAGAGAGGATACTCAGATTTGGGCTATGCCTCTCCTGACATCCAAAATGAGTCTTCATCTATTAGAGGCTATATGTATTGTATTAAAAACGCATTTTAGGTTTGGGTTCTGTAATGAGTCTCTTGTTGAAGACAACCTCTAATTATATTTCGTACGTCGTTTTGGCTTTTCTAGGACGTGCGTGTATAGAAAAACCAAAATAACCTGTAAATTGTGGGAGTAATATTTTTCTTGGACTAATATTCTTCTTCCTTTCTTGCGGGCGCACGCTGCCGTACAAGCTACCAGTACATGAACGCCGCGCCGCGTGCCCGTGCCGGCGCGCTGCGGCCAGCCGAGCCAACTTGCGGCATCTCGCGTTGGGCAAAGAAATTCGGCCGCCGGGCACCGCAATGGCACAATGGCTTGGGTGGGGCAGCACTTGTTCTCTTCCTATCTGGCTGTTGACTTGAGGCCGAACTCGACCCGAGGTCCGTCCAAACGCAAAACCCCACGGCGATGTGTTCCATCCAACAAGCTCGTTGCACCTGACCCGTCTTACCACGTGGGACATGGCCTCCAGTCCCCGCTTCGTAAGAGTAGAGGACAAGGACAAACGACGAGCTTGAATCACCGATATTTCAGCACTGTAAAGCATGATGCCACTGTATGTTTACATTTCTTTTGAAAATAACAGGACGGGCAAACACCTACTGAATGAATAGATATATGTATTATTAGAAAAAAAAATGCGCTCCAACAAAGAAAAATGAAGGTAGATTTACACAAAGTAATCTAGCCAGTGGTTTATAATGGGAAATAACTTCTCTTTCACACGAGATGTTTACATGAGAAATGAGAAGTGATTAAGTGAATAAGTACATTGTATTCCATATATTCAGTGTTCTCTACGCGATCGTGGTGGCAAAGATGGACGAATTCAATGCATTCCTAAACGGAATTTCTTCTATGCGACCTGTCGCGCTTGGAGCCGAGCATGCGACGCCCACGCGCGCTCACCGGGCGGCTAGGGTTCCGGCGAGGAGCTCGGTGGCTGCAGGTTAGGGGATTTGTTCCCAACAGGCTTAGAAGGAGTTTTGGGGGCGTCGGCCACGACACGGCGGTGGTGGTGGGAGAGACGTCGGAGGGGCGGGGTGGTGGAGGATGGCGGTTGGGCGGGGTTGGCGCCACAACGGAGTCGTCGATGAGCTACTGTGATTAGGGGAGGGCTGGTTGCGGGTGGCGTGGCGAGGCTGGCGCGCCGATGGCCGCCGATGGTGGAGGTGAGGGCGGGGCCGGGCGGAGCGGCAAGGGCGGGAGGTGGGCGGCGCGGCTGGCTGCGAGCGAGGTAGCCACTGGCCGGGTGGCGGCAGGCGAGGAGATGGGGGTGAGGGAGGAAGGGGTTGCAGGGAGGAAGACGAACAGAGTCAGGGTCACGCGCTCCTCTACTGCACAATATCGCGCTCCATTCCTAAAACCAAGCTGTGTCCATCATTATCAAAGTGTTACTAGGGCAACAACAAAATATTAGGCCAGTTTTAATGTTTTTTTTTAAAAAATTGTTTACATTTAATAAGTTGTCGCATGTGCATGTTTGATGACATGGCAATATTTTTAAAAAGAGAGAAGAAGTACAATTTATTCGGTTACCAATGAGTTATATAGAATCCCTTAAATACAATGCATCACGAGTGATTGTTCTCCATGTTTTATTGCAGTTTTACTGTATAATAAATAATGCTATGAAACTCTCCCCGAAGTTAAAGATGCGCAAAAAAGAGTAACATTTTTCTGATTGTAATAATAATAACCACGGGTTCCTTCAAGGCTACTTTGGCAACATGTGGCTATAAGCCCAGGGACAGGAACCCTCGACGGGGGAATTTTTTTGAAATTTGATTCCCGCCTCTACCCAAGAGGGATTTCCACATCGTGGGGGGTTTCCCTGTTGCCGTTCCCTGCTAGGAAATCACCACAGATCAATGCCAACCACAACATTTTCATGAACATAATGCATGAAAAATCACAAGACCAAAATTATTTGACATAGTCCAATACATAGAAAGCTTAATTCAAGTGGCAAATTCAACCTAGCTAATCCATTTGTCACCAAATCACTGATCAAATCCATCCAGATATCCAAGACATAATAAAAAAAAATATGGTTCAACTCCTTTCATAAGCAGTGTTCGAGAGAAAAAAAAGAACTCCTTTACATAAGCTTCTCACATAGACATTGCAGCTAGTAAAAATATTTTTCTTCTCAAATCATGCATTTGCTTCCACACCAAGAACCCTGTAGGTAAACAAGGATAGCCATTAGTAGCTAGAGATATACCTAAAGTAAACTAATCTAGTGCTGCTAGGATACATCAACTTGAACCAAGGGTAAACATGTGGCATGCCACAACAAGCAAATTACATTGGTGAATAGCAGAAACTGTCCACCTAGGCTAACATTGATGAATAGCAGAAACTGTCCACCTAGCCTGACAGAAACACATAAACTGTGCAGGATGATGAACTTCAAGTGAAAGTCAATAAATTGTCATCTATATATAAAAACACAGCTTCCATATGACTACTATTTTCTGGATTACTACAAACCTGTGGCGATTAAGAACAGTGCTGAGAACTTAGGTGAAGTCCTTCATGGGGATCGCATCGAAAATTCTGTCTACAATGTAAGGACATGAAACCCTTTGATTTATACTAGTCCAGCAAAAACAAGTGGGATTACTTGAAAAGAAAAAAAAGTACTATGAGAAGCTGTGTTAACTGCCATTTTGTTTTTCGATTCATGCAGTTCAAGATGAGGAGGGATGAGAGTTGCAAGGTTGTTTGTCGAAGGCACCTTTCTTAAGAAGCTGCGAAAAATTTCAAAGAAAAGATCGATGATGAATACCGAGTAAACATGTATGGTTTTAGTTTGCAGCTCATACCTTATTTCTTTTCTATGTTAGTATAACAATGTGACCATCAAATCAAGGGAAGATTGAGGATTTGCTCCTCCAATTATGTACAGATGACATATATTGCTCCATTGTCACTGTCATTTACTTGTTTGACTACCATGCCCATGAGACATTGAATTTAAATTTCAAAAGTGTCCACGAGTTATGTCGTTATGTGTTTGTTATGTTCAGTGCTGTGCCTAACTAAATTTAATTTGTTTCAAAAAAAATTAGGCATGTAGGATCCTAGATAATCTCCCAGTTGTGGTAACTAGGCAGACACGGGAAGGAAGCCAAACACCAAGCTTTGAGCATGGTTACCGAGTTGGTTACAAGGTGAGAATAACAAATTCCTATCTCATAAATGAAACATGAATTGGTTAATACTGGTTACCTTATTTGATTTGAATGAAATATTGCCAGCTCAAAGATGACAAGTATTATATCAACAATCACTTGAGTTTTAAAGTGTTGTACCATGAAGACCAAACTTCTCCTGATGCTCGCATTGTTGGCTTCCATGTGATTCCTATCAGGTATGCCATATTTCATGATCTACAACTTCTCCTTTCATCCGTTTTCAATATTTTGTTCTCTTACTGCTTACATTTGATTTCCCACTTCGGTCGGCATATGAACTATGGAGTCATCTATATCTGTAACTCCTTTCTGCTGATTTGTTACAGCATCAAGCATGAATATGGTGCCTGGGATGACACTAATCCCACAGTGCAAACTTGCAATGCTAACATTAAGATTACACCTGGTAGTCACACTCCTCAAGAGGTGGCCCCTGATGCATATGTTGTATTCTCTTATGACATTACTTTTGAGGTATAGTTCATTTCATAAATGTCCTCTATCTATATCTACCCGTCCATCCCTCCTACTCATATATGTCAATTCATGATTCACAAAAAAAGGGAAAAACACAAAGGATAAGCAGACAAGTTTTCTGCTACAGATATGTTAATTATCCACACATATAGAAGCAACAGTAGCATACTATGCAGAACAGGTAATTCCTAGGCTAATAAAAAATAAGATCAATCGGCAGTCATAGCTGTTGGCAAGTGCAAGCTGTTGTTCAAATAATATACCTGCATACAATGACTGCAGCTGCGTTTTTCTTCTCAATTCAAACATTGCCTCCACCAGCAATGCCTTCACTGATACCACTGCAAGTAAGCACAAGGAAAAGCATTAGCTGCTAAGGCATACCAAAGTAAACTAATCCAGTGGCAGCTAAGCAAATTTACTAAAGATTTGGATTGTATTTAGGAATTGTATTAAGGAAAGTGTATTGTATGTATTAACCGACCTGAAAGAATGGCATAAATCTAGGGTCACACGTAATCTTCATGTGTGTGTGGCTTGGATTCGGAAGTCTGATGAATTTTTGGGTTAATGTTGGAATAATATTGAAGACATCATATATTTTTCTATG